AAACATATTAAATTATTTTTTATTTAATTTTAATTTTAACTATATTTTTAATTAAATATATATAAATATTAAACAAGCCTTAACTTAATTAGATATGATTTTTGTAAAAAAAAATTTCAAATTAAAATTATGAAAGCTACCATATGAAAAACACAGGCAACCGTTGACCATCCATCAACTCATACTGGTGGATTAGCTGAGAGAAGAGAGCTAGCAGTCGCAAGTGAAGGAGAGATGGATCATTGACGTGAATCAAATCAAAATCAATTCTGTGGAAGTCCACTGTGTCTTGAAAGAACCAAACCCATTTAAGTCTCCACTTAGGAGTCAGGGCCATTACTGCAAGTGGCGTCCCCACACCCCCATCCCCCCCGCCACTTCCATACCTCGCTGCCCATAACTAAGTGTAGTGGAAGTATTTGTGAAACTGACCAAAATATTCATGCCATTTTCATTAAAAAGGAGAAGTAGAAGAAGCTGTTATATCATGGGAAATCCAAAACACAAAATCTCATTGGTTACTTCGAACTTGAAAGTGACGTTGCTGCTATCTTATCCTGTCTGCCCAAACATACCCCCCCCCCCCCCAAAGTATATCTACACGCGTCAAATAATATCTCTTCCAAACACACTCTTTACACTGAGAGAGAATTTGCTTTGCAAGTGGGAATGGCTTTTCAGGCCGCTTCTTTGGTTTCCTCTGCTTTTGTTTTCCCCAAAGAGGTTAGATGCTAGTATTGCTTTCTTGCTTGATGCATTAAAGGAAGATTTTAGTGTTGATTAAGGCAATTGTTTTGTCCATGCAGGGAAAATCTAATGCATCTTTCAAGGATTCAAGTTTGTTCGGAGTTTCACTTTCATGTCAAAGCTGACTTTAGCTCTTGTGCATTGAAGCGCAAGGCAGCTACCGTGTCAGTTCATTATTGCTTTCTTTTTTATTTACAGTAGCAAACAGAAGGGATTTTCCTAATGAATTCATTTGTTTAATATTATTCACTGCAGAGGGAATTCAACCAAGGCGTTGGGGCTGTAAGAGCCCAAACAATGGTCGCTGCTACTCCAGCAGTCGACAGTGCTTCTTCAGAAGGCAAGAAAACCCTTAGGCAGGGAACTTGCATTGTCACCGGTGCTTCCTCTGGACTGGGTCTAGCAACATCCAAGGCTCTAGCTGAGACTGGAAAATGGCACGTAATTATGGCCTGCAGGAACTGCGAAAAAGCCTGCATTCACTGCTGAAGGATTTGAAATTAGTGTTGGAACTAACCATCTGGGTCATTTCCTCCTTTCAAGATTGTTGCTTGAGGACATGAAGAAATCTGATTACCCATCAAAACGTCTCATTATTGTTGGCTCAATTACAGGTATATACAGTATAATATATTTAAGGTTTACTTTGTTTTGAATATGTTTCGATTGGTTTTGCTAAACGTGGTGTTGTTTCTGTGAAATATTTTAGGGAATACATATACATTGGCTTGCAATGTACCTCCTAAGGCCAATCTCGGTGACTTGAGGGGACTTTCAGGGGGCTTGAATGGACTAAACAGATCAGCCATGATTGATGGTGGCGTGTTTGATGGTGCCAAAGCCTACAAGGACAGCAAGGTCTGCAACATGCTACCTATGCAAGAGTTCCACAGGCGTTTGCATGAGGAAACCGGCATTGCATTTGCTTCCCTTTACCCTGGTTGCATTGCCACAACAGGCTTGTTCAGGGAGCACATTCCCTTGTTCAGGCTTCTATTCCCACCATTCCAAAAGTACATTACTAAGGGCTTCGTCTCCGAGCACGAAGCTGGAAAAAGACTTGCTCAGGTAACCAAAACAATGAAAACTGTAGAGATAAAAATGCTCAGCTATGATTTTGTACAACGCGCAATAACATTATCTGTTCTTTTTGTAAAGGTTGTGAGTGATCCAAGTTTGACGAAATCAGGAGCATACTGGAGCTGGAACAAACACTCAGCTTCATTTCAGAACCAGTTGTCTCAGGAAGCTAGTGATGCAGAGAATGCTCGTAAAGTATGGGAGATTAGAGAGAAACTTGTTGGGTTGGCCTAAATGAGAAGGGCTTGAGAGAATTTCTTATCGACTAATCTTTTCCATGGGAGAGGATAATGTTAATGCAAAAAAGTCTTTTTTGTGAGTTTGGAGTTTGGATTCGGATTCGGATGATTTGCTTTTGTAAACAATTTTCCCTTTTTAGATGTAGATGACTTTGTAGCAATCGCCAATAAAATCACTAAACCACATCGCAAAGTCCATATTTCTCTGATTAATGTGGCAGTCTCCACGCTTTCAAATCAGATAATTTTCTGCCAATTTAACAGCTAAATGGAACGTTTTGTAATAACAATGTGGTGTTTGTGTTGTTTTGCTCTTATGACACCAAATTCATGCAGTGACCCAAGTTAGACAAAGTATTTTGACGAGATAATTACAGGTGTTTCATCCATTATAAGGAACCTTAACGTTTGACTAAAAGGATCACAGCGGCTTGAAAAATATTGTAGTTTCTCATCATTTTCACTTTTCCAGACCAGTGTTGGAAGAGTTTCATTACAAGGTCTATCATTGTTAGCAAAACTCTTTCTTTTTATCAAAAAAAAAAGAGAAAAAGAAAAAGAAAAAAGGTTAGGAAACCTTTAGCAGTATTCCCTAACGTGCATTCTCTACTTGAGAAGAAAGGAATTCAAAAATTTAAAGAGTCATATATTCAAGAAGTTAAATACTTTCAAACAAGTAAGACAAGAGGTTATGGTCTTGGATTGAAGAACAAAAAGGTGGATGCAGCCATCTGGAAAGTGTCAGCGATGACTTGTTCAATCTCATTTTTTGAACTTTTAGCACAAGATTCTTCCACTTTGGAAGAATAGTTCTTGCTTTATGAGACTGGCTCTTTCTTCATTTCTTAACATGGATGAGATTGGAAATATCATCAAACATCGCAATAGTTTATTTATTCATCTATATGAAAAATTAGCATTAGTTATTCGACTGTTAATGGTTGACTATTAATTTTACGCAAACTGACCTGAATATTCATGTTAATAAAAAAAAAAACCTTGAGCATTTACAGTGATAAGCCAGGCCAGGATCAAATTCAAGATTGGGCTAATGTGAGCATTTACACAAACCAAATCCTTGGGGAAAGGTGAAAAGAAGAAGAAGCATGGGATTGACTAAGAAGAAGCTTTTGCAGTCATGGCCGGCATGGAGACTATGCAGCTCAAAACGTAAGGAGCATTTTATCAAATTGATGTGAAAGTCGGCCTTCTTAAATGGCCATATTCATTAGGAGATTAAGCTTGTAAAGACTTACGATCAAGTAATAAATATCTTTACAAAACCTCTAAGTTCTTGAAATAGAACCTTTGTTGCAGCAGTATCAGGTGTCAGGCATGTTATTGGTACTTGAAGCCATATGCCAGACACGCTGAAGGGTTAAGTTATAAAACTTGAGTACATGTAATATTAAAAAGAAATTAGTCTAATTTTTTTAAAATCAAATTATATTTTAATTGATTATTTAAATTATTTTTAAACTTATTAAGTCAAAGTAATTTTTTATAATTTTATTTGAAATTTGAGTTAGATAAAAAATAAATTAAGAGATTTTAAGATTAATATTAAAGTTTAATGATAATGCTAAATAATTTATTATTTAATATTAAATAATTTCTTAAGCATGGTTTTTTTTTTTCTTCATTGAGCAATATCATTGTCTTATCTAAATAAATTTTACACTAGTTTTCCATTGAAGATTATGATCTAATGGGGAAAGGGATTTGTTTCTTTTTTATGTAGCCGGGTTTAATTTTTTCTATACATATTTTTATTTTTATGATATTTTAATTGTTTGTTAGGTTTATAAAATATTCGGTGATCTGGAAGATTAATCATCACACACTAAGTTGATTCAAACATCCCAAATTATTAAAAAAAAATATTTTATATTAATTTTAATTCGTGAACTTAGTAACAAGTTATAAAACCCAAGTCATTGAATTTGGACGTGTAAATAAAGAAAATTAAAAGTGATTCATTTTAAATCCATTTTTTATTTATTCTCGAATACTACCATGTTCTTTAAAAATGTAAGAAGTCTTTTTTCCAAGTTACCACGTGATAAGTGGACTTTTCAATTCATGCATCTTAAGCTCACAAACTGGGATTATAGATTTTTTTTTAAATCAATTAATACCGATTAATTAAAAGATGAAAGAATTTATTTATTCTAGAGAATTTCAAGGTATTCCATTTGTTTAACACAAATAAATTCTTACATTATTTTATGAGTTTAAAAACTAACAATTTACATTTTATTTTATTTTAGTTATTAGAATATTTTTAAATCAATTTTTATGACTCAATTCTTGTTTGATTATTTTTAAAATAATCACCTATCCATTGAAACAATCATTTTTTAAAGCAAGTATTTTAAATATATATTAATATAAAATCTGATCTAAATTAAATTTCACATTAGATGAGAGTTGATAATTTAATTTTTTTAAATAAATAAAATACTATTATTTTATTTTTACTTCTTTAAATCTTAAAATATTTTAACTTTTATAAATTTTACTTCTTTAAATCTTAAAATATTTTAACTTTTATATTTTATAATAAAGTCATTTTAAAACCTGTTTATTTTTTAGTTTTAAAAGTATTTTTTAAAAAATTAAATTTTTTTATTTTTTTTGTTTTAAATTATTATTTTTTAATATTTTTAAATTATTTTAATATACTAATATCAAAAATAATTTTTTAAAAATAAAAAATATTTTTAAAAACAATCATACCCAACCCGGTATACTTTATAACTTTATAGCTATTCCTAATTTCCTATCATTGTAAATGCTAGGATACATATCATATGTGATTACTCGGCTTTGAGCCCATCATTTATTGGGCTTGAATCATTAATCAAAAGTCCATTGGGCCCTAAGCACTTTCGAAACCTTTTCCCCGTTTACTTTTCTAGGTTTTTATCAGGGTTTTGCTCATCTCTTACAAAAGCTTGTTCCCTCATTCTGCAGCTCTCCTCCTCCTCTTCAGGTACTAACCTTTCTCCTGCTTAATTCTATAAACAACTCAGCTATAGTTTTCATGATTTTGAAGCTAAACGTTTCACGGATTTCAGGTGTCATCTGTACGTAAACAAACACAGCCATGGGAAAGAAGAGAAAGCATAGTGAGACACAGGTCATTGAACCTGCAAAGAAAGATGAAAGTGAAACAGAGAGACCTAAAAGGACACTCTTGGGTTGGAAAGATAAACCTGAAGAGAAAGAGACTGAATCCCTAACTCATCAGGGTGGTTTTAGAAATAAAGAGAAAGTCTTAGTTACTTGTTCGAGGCGTATTAATTTCAGGTTCCGTAAAGATTTAATCTTTTTTTTTTAATATTTGATTTCTGGGTTTTGTTGGGTTTTTTGGGGTTGTTGGATTTTGTTGGTGCTTGAAAGAATTGTTGTTGTTGCAGGTATAGGCACTTGATGTTGAATCTGGTGTCACTTGTGCCACATTGTAAGAAGGATAGTAAGGTTGAGTCTACAAGTAGTAAAGGCGCAACATTGAATGAGCTTGTTGAGTTGAAGAATTGTTCTTCTTCTTTGTTCTTTGAGGTGAACTTTAGCTTCCTTAAACAAACTATTTGACATGGTTAATTCAATATTATTTGTGCAGGTGATAAAAGGCTTGATGCGTATGATAACTCATCAAATGAATTAGTGCTGTTGATAATTGTTCCTGATGTTTGCGTGGTTTAGTAATTTGAAGGAAAATAACTTAGTAACTTTGAGAGGAGACTTGGTGATTATATAAATATTGAGATTAGGAAAAAGAGAACGGTTGGTGATTTCTGTTCTCCTTTCTCTCTATATTTCAGTGCCGGAAACATAAAGATTTGTACCTGTGGATGGTCAAGTGCCCCAGTGGTCCGTCTGTGAAATTCTTAGTCAATGCTGGTATGTTAATTTTTTTTTTAATTCTAGCACTCTGATTTTTTTGACAATCATATTCTGTAATAGGCATGAACTTGTTGTGTTCAAGTGCTCCTGTTTGCAGTATCATAATTTTTGCACATGCATTTAATGGGTGTTGGGAGGGGAAAGTTAGCAAAATCTTTATAGAGATTCACCTTTTTGGCTATGGTTTTGAATATTTGTGTGGAGTTGGAAATCTCCAAAAAAATTTCTATTTTTAAGCAGTTGTTATGGTATAGAATATTCCTTTTGACTTCTTGTGGCATTTTGGTTTGGGAGCATTTGAAAATTTGCTTTTCATTGATATCCTGTGGCACAGGAGAGCCACTGGAGAACCATTTTCCTGATTTTCCTTAATCCTATTCCGTGTACTCTACCATGGAGGATATCTTGTACTCCTTTTTGTAATTTTCTTCTTGTATTAAGAGTAAGTAGCCTAACCAATGCAACTTGTCTTGTTCATTTTAGTGCACACAATGGAAGAATTGAAGCTTACAGGAAATCATCTGAAAGGGTCAAGACCCCTCTTGACTTTCTCAGCTAATTTTGATAAAGATGCCCACTGGAAACTCCTGAAGGAGATGATCATTCAGGTATTTTGTTTTTGTTTCCCATCTTAGAAGCAACATTTATCTGCATTCTATCTTATAATGCATGGCTGAAACAACTGGAATCTCCATTCTTTAAAGACAAAATCGTGAAATACTTGTCCAAAATCTCTTATAATAGCAAAGTCTTCTAGGAAATATTGTAGATAAAATGATTGATATTCTTGGTACCTACAATGTATGGCTTTGTAGCAAAAGTATGCTGATAGAGACTACCATTTTGTACGTCTTGTTTCTGGTGCTGTGATAGCAGAGACATCCATGAAGCAAATTTTTCAGCTCACTAAATTTTTCATTGTTTGCTTTATAAGATCAGTTGAGGGCCTGCTAACCTGCTCATTTCATGAATCCCTACCTAGTGATTGCTTGGATGCTCAAATTTTACTTTCCTCATGGTTATATTTAATTTCTGATTCTTACATATGCTAGACCAAAAGTTGATGATGTACTCAGCCATATGTGAACTTCGGAAGTCTTTTCATATGATACTAAATGGCTTCTTTTCCTTTTTTCTTTTTGTCAGATATTTGGAACCCCAAAGGATCACAGGAAATCTAAGCCTTTTTATGACCATGTCTTTGTTTTCTCCATTGTTGATGACCATATATGGTTTCGGAATTACCAGGTAAATTATACATTTTTTTTTGAAGTCTTCTTCTATTGGAGCAATTTCTGCCTTCAAAAACTCTATTTTTTCTGTTGCCCAATACTTGTTACACTGTACATTAATTTATGTTAACATTTTACTGACTTTATGCTCCCAACTTAGAAATGACAACAATTAACGAGTTAACATCCTACAAGTTATTCTAGCTACAATTTAACAAATGAAGTGGTAGATTGAGGCATATTAGAGCAGACGACTTGCTTGCTTGTATTTGGTATTTTGGAATCTAGTAGACATGCTACATTATCCTTTGGTATCTCTAATTAGAAACCTGCATATGTTAAAAAGTTAATTCCTTTCCCGTTTCCCCCTTTCCAAAAATCTCCAAGGCAGGGATTCCTTCTTAAGTTCATGAAAGCTGATTGACTGTCTGTAGCCTTTCCAGATAGCTTTTTCATGTCCTGGCTTAATGTTTTTTAAACTAGATGATCATTTTATCAGATTGAATCCAATTGGAACTGCAAGTACTGCTATCAACCAAATAGTCTATTCATTGGACTGCTTGCAGTTCCATTGAAGCTGTTTGTTCCTCTGTTTTATTCCTTTCTGTTTTCATATACATTCTTAAATTGCTGTGCTGCTCTACTGCATGGCTTTTGCTTTAGCCCGTGCTAAAGAAAGAACAGGGATATACCACTTGGATGTTAGAGACTGGTTTAGCCATCCAATCCTCCTATAGATGGTTGTATCAGAGATGTTATCCTTTTGGTGCTCTTTCAGATGCAGTAACCAAAATTACTCAAGTATCCTTTCCGTTTAAAGGTGTTGGCTGTCATAGTAAAATCTGTACTGATGAACACACAATGCTGTCTTCCAGTAGTCTGTGGGATAATTGTCTCGGAGCTATCAACATCCTTATTCACCAATTAGAGCCACATTGTTGACAGTTACCAAAACTCGGTCCCAAACTTTTGATTTAATGTGAACACTCAGAACTCTTATTTGCATGATGTTCATAGTCCCTTTTAGTATTTCAAGATCAGCGTGATGTGAAAACAATTTTAGACCTCTAAAGTGGTTGCTGAAAATGGGCAGATGCACTGCTATGTAAAAATCCTGAATTTTTATGTATAATTCTTGTTGTTCCAATTACATGAAAGTGTCATAGCAGTGTTATTTTTGGAACGCTTTCTAATTATTATTTTTTATTTTTTTGTATTTATTTCACGTGAAGTTTTTTCCATGTTTTATTAATCTTTGAAACTAACTCCTAGCATCTCGTCCTCTTCTTCTTCAATATAGATATCTGTTCCTCATAATGTAACAGATAAAATGGCTCGAGGAGGCCTGGATAAGATGACCCTTGTTGAGGTTTGCACTGACATACTTTAGAATTTGTACACGGAGAAAAACCTGTAGTCGTTATTAATTTTGAAAGACTGGTTTGGTGCAGGTTGGTCCAAGATTTTGCCTGAACCCTATCAAGATTTTTGGTGGCAGCTTTGGAGGCCCAACATTGTATGAAAATCCGTTTTTTATATCACCTAACCAGGTCAGCGAATTATCTACATGTTTAGTTTGGGTTTTGGCATCACAAATATGATTAGCTTCTCTTAGTTAGTCAAGAGTTCCTCCTTTAATGATCTATAGCAAGTATTCACCTTTTCTAGGGTTTTCCATTGTGACAATTGTTTCTTGTTTAAAATAACCATCACGTTTTGCTAGTTTCATGGTTGAGGGTTTTCCCCCTACTTGCTTTATTACTCTATGGCAAGTTCAGGGAATGTTATAGTATGCTGTTTATTCATGTAGTGGCATTTTTGTTCAGAGGTTATTTGGTCTTTTATTGCCACCTGCTGTGATTATATACAATACGATTTTTTTCTTGTTCTAATATTTTGGCATGAATGCCTCAATATGCGGCTTCTTTTCATTCTTGCAGATTCGAGCACTGGAGAAAAAGAAGAAGGCTGGGAAGTTTGCCAAGAAGGTCAAAGCCAAGACGAGGAGGAAGATGCACGAGCTGTCAAATCCATTGGAGCCTGATGAATTTGCAGACATGTGGAAGGAATGATGCTCTTCTCGTACCTACGCTGTTGGTGATATTATATCACCTTGTATTCTTCAAGAAAAATTTCTCATTTTGGTGCTCATTGGCATGATTTTTGTCCCCGCTCTGGATCAGCTTATGCATTTTAACCAGGTTGGTATTTATGGCGGACGATTTTTTCCCATATCACAGAGCTTCGACTTGAAAATTCTTTACACAATCATGCGGCAAGTCTTTTACCTTGACTTCTGCTGCGCTTTTCACTTTTCACCCTGCAACTATGAAGTCGAAACCAGCAATCAAGAAATGTTTTTGACAATTTTAGCTTTCGTTGTTTAGTAGAGAAATGGATCAGTATTTGTTGAACAGAATGGCTAATGCCTTTACGTTCAAGTGTGCAAATTCAGATTGATTCTCCAATTTCATGACTTGGCGATAGGGGTTTTACCGAAGAGGTTTGGCTTGGGGGTTTAAATGCTTCGTGAAAATGAAATAAATAAATAGAAACGCTCTGCGCACCGATTGAACACGTATCACTCTTTCTTATTGATTTTTGTACCGAGCGAGAAGAAACCAGACCACAAAAAAAAAAAAAAAGCAAGAAAAGCAAAGAAAACAGACGACGGGAAGAAAATAGATCAGTTCAGAAGACGTTAGCCCTAGCTTGTAGTTCTGATCTGGCTATAAATTGAACACAGCAAATCCTTGTTCAGCTGTGTGATTCCCATTCGGTCCAATTGGCCTCGCTTCCCCTGCGGGGTAAACTATTAATTCTTGTGAAGACATCAACCTTGAAATTTGCGCCACACAGGAATCCTTCGCTGTCGGTCCTAGGCATGGCTCTAACTTTGTTCATCGGATGCTCAAAGCTCATCAAACCTCCTTCACTATGGAACATAAATCCTGCACATCATCATCATCATCATTTTGATGAGTAGATCAACCTTAAGAGAAAAGTTACAACGCAAATCCAGATTGTGCAGACTGCTAGTGATGCCAGTTCAACAAAAACATTGATGTGATTTGTGAACTATGTATGATAAGTCATTACTAAGACAATACAAGGTACCTGTTGGGAAGGGAGCAAATGATTTGGCACAGCCAGCTTTTATGATTTCCAAATCATCAGAAATCACCACAGAGCCATCTGCTGCAATACCCCAGTACAGCTTAACTCCGCCATCGGAGCCCTGTGACCATACAACATACTTAGAATCACGACCAAGAAAACCAAACGTGCTTTGAATGTGATTGAACATATATAGCCCATAAGATTCTATTAACCAATAGACAAATGAGTCAAAATGATGCATTAAGCATACCAGTGCAGCGAAAACGGTTCCTGCCTTGCTATCGTAGATAACAAAAGCAAAGCTCCCATCAAGATCCTTGACAACTTGATCAGCTGGATATGGACCCCTGTCACGAAGGGTCTTGTAAGCTTCTATCACAAACATGGCCTCATTAGTCCCCTTTGTTAATCCGTACTGCTTATTGAGTGTGCATAAGTTGTTCAGGCTTCCAGAGAAAAGGCAGTATATACCATCAACACCACAAAACAACCTGCACATATATGATCAACATGACAGTAATTTAACAATCTGTGAATGAATCAAACCACAAAATGTTAACAACGGAAAGGAATCTCAATCAATAAGTAGGTCTTACCTTTGTTGTGGAGAGAAAGGGTTGTCTTGGGAAACATAAGCAAGCACTGCAGCTTCACCAAAGTTTATGGAGAAAGTCTTCTGAGGGTGGTGAGAAAGAAACTCACTTAGAGTTTCCTCAGGAAGCTTAGGCTTCCTAGTACTTCTTTGAGATGCTGGACTCTTAAGCTCCTCAGGTGGGTTAGCAAAAGCTTTGTGAAATATTGCCAACATTTTCTGATCTCTATCTACTCAAATTTCCAAGATTACACTCGCACCAAAACGGATAATATTGCCTAGAATTTATGCCTTCTGAGTTTTTTTGAAAGAGTTGATGCTATATGACCACACAAGGAGAGGTAACATTAAGTTCTTTTGTAGTATTTATAGGATCCGTTTGAGGCACAAGGTTCTTTTTGGTAAGGTGGACAGAGGCAATATTATCCATATTTGTGGGGGCATAGAGCTTGGGTCGGGGATAAGGATCTTCGTACTTCAATGTATTCTTATCCACTTCGAGTTCTGGTTTTTTTTTTTTTTTAATCTATTCAGAATTTTCCACTAGATGTAGTTGTTCTGTCCCTGTCATCACTGCTCTTATTTGTCAATCTTATAGTGGGTATTTGTTCTTATTCTTCATCAGAGGCTGCTTAAGTCAAGTCAAAACTTAGCTTTAAGCAAATCAACGTTGGGAATCTATTTTTCAATTTTGTTTTTCTTTAAAGAGGAAAATGAATTAATTTTGCTGGAAAAAAAAAAACAGAGTGTTTTGTGATTCGTTTGTGAGTTAGCATCATGGAACACAGATAAATAAATTAAGTAATTAAACCCTATTGGATTTGAATTTATCTGACATCCATCACTGATACTGTGTAGCAAAACGTAATAAATTCTGTGTCCAAGGAGATAGCCATGGCATCTCCCAACAGCCATCTGTAAAATCATTTTGCTTAGAGAGATTCCTAGTCAAAACATTACTTCGAAGCTTTTGATACTGTAAATCAACCAAACATTTCTTCTTAACATCTTCATCAAATCAAGTTGCTTTGAGTGGAATTTGTTAAAACAATTAAGATAAAATTTAAAAAAATTTAAAATTCTGAATAATATATATATAGGTTAAACTAAGTACAATTCTATCATTAATAAATAAAGCTATATAAATATTATTTAACATCTCCCATCAAACTCACAATGCGATAGCTACAAGCATTAAGAGTTTGTTAACTAGAAAACAAAAACGAGAGATAGAATGCATCTTGGTAAAATTTTTTTGCAATTTGCAAGAAAAAAAGGTCAAGCAATGGTGTCGTGCTTGAGATGATGATGAGTAAGATGATAATCGATCTCAATGTACTTAGTTCGCTCATGAAAAACCGAGTTGTGAGCAATCTGAATAGAACTTTGGTTGTTACAATACATAGAAATAGGATGAGAAAAGAAAACTTCTATATCAGCAAATAACCGACATATCCAAACCATCTCTTTGGTAGCAGATATCATGACACAATATTCTGCTTCGGTAGATGATTGAGAAATAATAGATTGTTTCTTGCTCTTTCAAGAAATAAGAGAATCACTTGAAAAGATACAGAACCTGGTAACAAACTTGTGATATATGAGATTACTACCATGATTAGCATCAGAGTATGCACGCAACTCCAAAGAAGAGGTGGATGTAAGTAAAAGACTCTAAAAAATTGTATCCCGAAGATATCACAAAATACGAAGAATAGCTGCCTAGTGAACAGTAGTAGAAGAAGCAACAAACTTACTAACAACATGAACAACATATGCAATATTTGGACGAGTAATGATGAGATATATCAAGTTTTCAATAATAGTGCGGTATAAAGTAGAATCTATCAAAGGTAAACCATTAGAAGAAGAGTACCTTGCGTTAACCTCAATAGGAGTATTTATAGTCTTATTATCAATAAGTTTAGCCAGCTCAAAAATATCTGTAACATATTTTGACTGAGAAAGAAGATAATCTTTAAGTAATTATGCTACCTTAATACTCAGGAAATATCGAAGATAACTCAAATCATTCATTTCAAATTGTCCAGTCAACTCTATCTTCAAAACTGAAATACCATCAGTGTCATCACCAGTAATAATCATGTCATCAACATATAAAAACATATTGATAGGACCTCCATCAGTGCACTTAATAAAAAGAGCAGAATCATAACTGCTAGAAATAAAGTCAAAAGACGAGTTCACAATAGAGAATTTCTCAAACCAAGCACGGGGTGTTTGCTTGAGACCATATAATGTTTTTTTAAGTTTACAAACATATCTAGAGTCATGTAAAATATTAGGAGGGGATGTCATATAAGCTTCTTCTTGAAGATCTCCATTTAAGAAGGCATTTTTAACATCAAGCTGAGAAATATGCCACTTATAAATCAAAGCTACGATAATAAGAGTATAAATAGCAGTTATTTTTACAACCAGGGAAAATATCTCCTCATAATGCATATCATACTATTGAGAGTATCCTTTTGCAATCAGCCTAGCTTTGTATCGCTTAATAAACCTATTAGAATTAGTCTTGATCTTATACACCCAACAACAACCAACAACACTCTTACCAGGAGGTAGAGGAACCAGATCCCAAGTATCTGTCTTATGCAAAACAGAAAGTTCCTTATCCATAACTTGCTACCAAAACGGATCAATAATTACCTCTTTATAGGAAGAGGGCTCAAAGAGACAATGAATAAAAGCTGAAAAGATAGTAAATGATGAAGAATAAAAAAAATAAGCAAAATCTGGTAGTTTTGTAAACTTACGAATATGGATAAACTGACATGGAGGTCGATCCATAATCTTAGATGAAGCTTGAGGAGTTGTAGATGATAACGGAGCTTTAGGGATGTCGGAGAGTGAAAAACTAGTACCTATAGAGTTATGAGTACAAATTGGTTGAATATAGAAAAAGGTATAATTACCAGAATCATTAGAAAAGGGTTTATATGAATAAGATTAGATTTAGTAAGGCTATGAATAGTGAATGAAATAATATGAGTACAAATTGGTTGAATATAGAAAGAGGTATAATTACCAGAATCATCAAAAAAGGGTTTATATGAAAAAGATTAGATTTAGTGAGGCTATAAATAGTGAATGAAATAAAAAAGAAAGGTATATGCTCAAGAAAGAAAACATGACGAGACACATAAAGTTTCTGAGTTATTGGATCAAAACAATGATAACTCCTTTTACCTTCCCTATAACCCAGAAAGACACAAATAGCAGATCAATAGAATAACTTACCGCATTCTACGTGAGGATGAAGAACAAAACAAGTACAACCAAAGACTCTAAATAAGAACTAATTAGGGATATACCTATATAACTTTTCAAATTGATATAGACCCAAACTATGAGAAAATGAAATTGTATTAATCAAACTTACAGCAATAAGGATAGCTTTATTCTAAAACTCACAAGGAATAAAAGCAGACAACAAGAGAGAACGAGCAGCTTCAACAATGTGCCTATGTTTTCTTTCAACAACACCATTTTACTTAGGAGTATCTGTACATGAAAATTGGTGGATGGTTACATCTAATACAAGCAATTGGAAAAATTTATTAGAGGTATATTCCTCACCGAAATCACACCTAAAGCATTTTATCACAGTAGAATGTTGAGTTTTGATAAGAGCTCAAAAAGCTGTGTATATATCAAAGAATTCAGAACAATGTTTCATTAAATAAACCCAACAATAACGAGTATGATCACAAATAAAAAAGATATAATATTGAGACCCTTCTTTTATGGCAACAAGAGAAGGTCTCCATATATTAGAATGAATCAAATTAAATAGTGAAAAAGAAACAGAAATACTTCGATTAAAAGGTAAAGCAAAAACTTTTGCTAGTTTATATCCATAACAATAAAAAATATCATAGTTTTAAAATTT